AATAAATAAATAAATAAATAAATAAATAAATAAATAAATAAATAAATAAATAAATAAATAAATAAATAAATAAATAAATAAATAAATGAATAAATAAATAAATAAATAAATAAATAAATTAAATAAATAAATAAATTAATTAATTAATTAATTAATTAATTAATTAATTAATTAATTAATTAATTAATTAATTTATTCATACAGTAACAGTAGCACAAAAGTGAAAAAACTGTTGCGAAATCCTATGTCATAAGCTCAATACTACATTTATGCCGTTGCAAATTGCAAAGTTATGAAATAGTCGGCATATTCAAAACGCTATCGGTATTACATGACTTCGACACTGACTTAGCGCCCTCAATAACATAATTGAACATTATATCGAACATACAGCGCCCTCAATTGATGATTATTCAGGAACGTTTGTTCCAGAAAATTTACATAATCATTTCTAGGATTTCACGTTGTTATTCACCAAAATTATCAACCATCTTCACTGAAAGTACGAATTCGACCGTTACATCACGGCGAACCAACAAGTCATCGACCAATCGGAAGAGCCAAACGTTAACCCGAGGTGAAACAAAGCAGAAGCGCAAAGTAGCCGTAAACGTATCGCAATTGGTAATTAGCCTTTATCATATACTAGTATCTCCACATTAACGGCTGACTCATGTAAACAAATAGTGTTAAAACACATAACAGCTAAATTTTTAAAGTAATGCCTGGATAATTTAATTCATTCGACATCACCAAATTAACATGTACGAATTAAGATAGAGAAAAACAATTATTTTAGAGTTGACATCGAGAAAAGTCAGCAGAAATAAGCATTCACTGTACACAATCACAAAGAAACATATTTATTTCATGAAACTCTGGCAACTAAGCTGCCCCTACAATGGGGCCTGGCGGAACATTATAATTAGAAGTGCATGCCTGCATGCATGCAAGCACGCCCGGAAAATCTGGTTCTCCCGTTGAAAACTAATCATTGGGAACAAAAATACATCTTACATAGGAGGCCGCCATGTTCTGATACACACTTTATCTACCAAAATGTACCAATCCGCACAGACCCATGACAGCCCTTATTATATATCCATCCATTATACAGCAGACCGATGACCTTCAATACACTTATCATAACTAACTAATTAATTAACTGGTTTTTGTACGTGTGGCCGATCTCATGATAATGGCATATACTAGTACTTATATACGTACAGCACGCCCATAAAATAAACAGGCTGATTAATTGCACGTATACCATATATATCTAAAGTGTTCACACTCACGGTACATCATTACATGCACAGCCAAAACACGCACCTCTTATACCACAAACAATCGCCAAATTTATAAAATATATATAACACATGCCATTCAGGTAAATAATTGCAAGATTAAGATGTTTGTCAATTGTATGTGTACGTGTATGTGTCGATGTTTTATACACAGAATTATAACACTATTTCCGCACATAGTACGATGAGCCTTTGTCACCTGTTTTCAAGTATGTTGCATGATGTGTGGTCTCTTTTATAATATCAACAATAGCAATATTAACACATAAAATTGGGCAGTATCTATAGTAATTCAGATAACTATATTCCTGTACTGCGAACGACGAAACACTTATTCTATATAGAGAAATTAAATAATATAGATTATTTTCAGCAACGTACAACCGCCAGCAAGCCCGCCACTTTCACACGTGGTATTATAAGCATACTACATGTATTATAAAATATACTCCATCGCGTTTATTACAATTTAAGTTCACACGTCAGAGGCCCTCTCGTCTATTACCAGATGACGCGTGTCACGTGTGCGGTTCTGTTTTCCCCTATAGGACTGTACACAGAACACATACACAAACATCCGGTTGGACTATTGATGAATCCGGTGAGTTTTTGATCTTTCTATTCAAGGTTACCACCATGGAATTGCGTATTGAATTGTCCTCAAGCCCTCAATCCTAACAAAAAATGATATTGCTGAAGGTGCTCGTTAGTAATAGTATCAAGATTTTTAGAAAGACCACTGGTTATCCTGTTTGTTGAGACAATATACGGAGCATTTTAGCGTTACAAATTACTCTAGTTTAACGTGTGGCACATGCCGCGGATTACAACAGACCAACGAATATTTATGTCTAAATACTCCACAATGAGCCTAAGTTCACTAGTAAATCTAGTTTCATTTTGCGCAATTTTTTTTTTTCTAATATTAAACACAAAGTTGAAAACAAGTATTACAATCAAACTGTCAACATGCATGGACGCATGGTACAACTCCATATTTATATCGCCAGCGATGTTAATTTATTGAAGCAGCAGGTGTGCGCGGTACTGGAATACATACGCAACACCAACGGGAATACAGCAAAGACGCACCATAATGTCCGATTTACTGATATAAAGCTGTTATTATTAAATTCTGTCCATTTCCATTTGAAGGTTTAATTGTTGTATGGTATGAACGTCAGAAATGTTTGTTTTTAACGGATTAACATCAACACCAGCAAATTTCTAATATTCCGTGTACACGTCAGTATACACATAGACGAGTCGTAAAATAATATTTGACTGGAATACCGTGACGTCTAAATGATTACCTACCACAATATGTGAAGATCACAATCTCACGTCACGAAATTTCATTGTTGTGTTTTAATGTTGTCCACGTTTCTTAAACGGTATGTCATTACATTAATATGTGAATGTCGTCTGTGTACATAAAACGACATGACATTTTATTAATATGTGAATGTCGTGCACGTACCTCAAACGGTACGGCATTGTATTAATGTGTGAATATCGTGTACCTACTTCAAACTTTACGGCATGTTATTAAAGTGTGTGTGTGGGGGGGGGGTCGTCACCTGCGTACGCGCGGCAATTGAGTCCTGTGCGCTAAAAGGGCAAAGGTGAATGGGAAGACGCTTGTTTGTAAACAACAACACACTAGCTATGGCCGTCTGCCGCCCACCTGCTTCAATATGTGAATGTCGTGCGCCTACTTCAAACTATATGGCATTGCATTAATAAGTAAATGTCGTGGACGTGCATAAAACGGCACCTAGTTAAATGAGCCTGCTGTCACGTGTTTATAATTATGTTGTTTAATGTATAGTTCTTTATATAATATGAAATTTAAAGAATATTTTATATTTTGAAATACATTAGGTAAAGTGTGTTCACTAGAAACGTGTTCATTATTACAATACTGTTTAAAATACATACATTTTGTTTCCACTTGGAACACATATTAAAAAGTGTTCATCATCACAACAATTCCAAAAGGGCTTTCACTAGAAGTACATTTTGCAATGTGTCAGGAAACATGTAACATCCGGAGACATGTTTTAGGTGTTTACTATCATAACACCTTGAAAGGGGATTTCACGGGAAACATAATTTAAATACGGAAAGGTGCTTGTAGCAGAAACGCATTTAAAAAGCGTTTCCACTGACTTCAACGTGATTACAAAACTCATTATCAATACACTTGCCTGTGGCACACAAGCACCTGTACCAAAATACATATTGGAACGTTTTTATGACCGAAATATCAAAATTGATAAATTTATCGCTAAATGCATGTCTGCTGACATTTTTAACATGCGTGGGCATTTTTTCTATTTTTGTAATAACTACACTGTAAACAATTCACGGGAAATTTGTTTCACCAACACCATCCTTCACCGAATGCGGAGTACCAAACTCCATTGGGCCCTCAGGATACTTACTTCGCCACGTGACTCGATTTCCAGTTGCACTTTATATGTTGGTAAAGCCATATTAGAGTAAATACAATTAATTCATCCACAATTGCTAGTGATATGTTACTAACTAATAATTGTTGAGCTTAATAATGTCGGAACATCTTAACACTATGAATAAAATAATGTTAAGACCATCTCATTATGCGTTGAATTACGTACCTTTTGGTGTCGAGCATAAAGTTTGATGCTCTATCAATAAACACTCTAATGGCACATTTATGTTCCTGTAAAACATTTTGTTTTGAAAATAGAGTAGTTGCGTGTGTTTACAATGTGCTTAATTTTCATCGAAAAGTATTTTTAATTATTCCGACATACACTTTTTACAAATATATTAAAACACTAGTAATTTGAAACTACAGCAGTGGCGGATCCGGGGGGGGGGCATATCATCTGGATTACGCATAGCTTCTCTGCGATTTATGCTCCGTAATGTTAAGCGAAGCTCCCCCCCCCCATACATTTTGCTGGATCCGCCACTGAACTACAGGTGTGTTTTCGTGTAACTACTGCCATAATAGGTGATTTTCCGAACAATTGCGAGATCTCGCGAGATGCATGAAAGACGCGCGTCGAACGTCTGCTGCAAAAATCGAACGATTTGATTTTGAACTAGAATTTCTTTATTTCGCAGCTTACATTGACCGGCCGATCTTCGACAGAGGAATATTGCTTCCGAATACCCTCACTTAATCGAAATTGCCTATCAACAAATGTGGACAGCACATTATTAAGCATGGAAATGTCCCCGAAATACTTGCACGTTTGTCGAATCTCACGCGATGTTTGACGCGACTACGACGCTATGACCTTTGTTTGTCCTGTTTTTACGTTCGATTTCACGCATAACGCGTGATTCTCGCAGTGTACGGAAAATGGTCTATTGTGAATGTAGTGAGGAGTCGGGTGTGTGTTGTTCGCTGTGGTCAGGATATCGGGAGTGGTATTCTTCGAGTCGGGGAAACTCACTTAGCAGCGGAGGTACAGTGATCGTTGATGTACACCCATTCAATCACAGGGAGCCCAGGAACTATAATCAACTGTAATACGCAGTCTGTATGAGCGGGGGGGGGGGGGTATCGGCTGGTATCTAGTGTAAGAAATAGACAAGGG